AGACTAGATAAACATTCAAACTGAAAATCCGAGTGTTATTAAAGAAATTTTCTTCGTCGTCTAGGTGATTTTATTTTATCCCAAATTGTGCGGTCTATACTAATTTAAATTTATAAAAATAAAAATCAATCATAATTTCACATTGTTATTTTTGCAAATTCTGTAAAAAAAGGTTTTCCTTTTATTGTCGAGAGAAAATATTTCGTGCACAAGCACTTGACACACAGTAAACAAAGGTTATATCCTTAAGATTTATTGTAGCTTAATTATTACTATTTCGATCTAATCTTAAAACGAACATTGAGCAAGAAAAGAGCGAATTACATTCATTGTAACATCTATCAAAGGTCAAACAAACTTGGCTAAATAAAATTATTCTAAAAATTTGACTAAAGTTACATTGTCCAATCGCAAATTTCTAAAATAGAAGACAATATATGTAGAAGTTTTACTAGTAACAAGTCAATAATATAAGATTAAAACCTGCTTTAAATTGAAAAATCAGTGATTTATATCATCGTGATTTAAATCATATGCCATCCCTAGGTGTAGATTTCTTTTGAAAGTTATTATAATCTAAAAAAAATAAGACGCTGTTAGTCTGGTGGAATTCCTTCTTTATTCTATATCATTTGCTTTACCTGACTAATGGTGTCTGATAATTCAACTTCAAGGGTCTAAGACGAAGTGCCAAATGAATCATAGTTTCATTATGAATACTATAATTTGACAAGGTACAATCATCTTCTAACAGTTTAGAATCGAAAATAAGAAGTTGACGTTCTGCTGAATAACCTTCCTTGTTCTGGATTTTTTGCTTAACTTGGCCGATTGTGTCTGATGATTCTACCTCAATGGTAATTAAAGGCCTACCAGAAAGGATTTTAACGAAAATTTGCATATTGTTTGTAATGTTAAAAAATTGAAACCTGAAAATTTAGATAGTGGATATATTCTTTTTTATAATGTATTGGAAGGTTCTACAATAACCCATTATAAAAGGTAGTTAACTATATAGTTTTACTATATGAGTGACGAAAAGGAAAAACCTGTAAATCATCTCATTCAATGATTGAAATTATTTACAGGTTTCCCCTTTTCGTCACTCATATATAATGGAGTATTGCTTCCGATTGATGGTAAGGATTAGTGTTCCGACGGAGTGTAAGGGAGTTCGCAATTCTGGGCATCTGATTGGATGCTAACATGTGCATGCATTTGTATTGATGATCGTTACCTAAATTTACCGTGCTATAATATTCTCATTGTGTTATATTATTCGATTTAGTGTGTGGCTTTTACATATATTCTATGTACAGTAGCCAACAAAAGTAACGCCCGATTTTTGATCAAAAATAAAATTTTTATTTATTTAATTTTGGTCGCAAATACATCAAATTTTTTTTTATATTTATTTAATATTTCACTGAGTGACCTCCTACACTTGTAATAGCGTTGATTCTTCGTGTAATTGAGTTTGCAATGACACGAAGAACCGACGTATCCAAATTTGATCATGCTTCTTGTAAGGCCGTTTTAAGGTCAGATTTATTCCTTGGGAAGTCATCTCAGTTCTGAATATTGTCCTTCACGATCTTTCAAATATTTTCTATGGGATTAAGGTCAGGGGATTGTGAGGGCCAATTCATATAATCAATATTTTTGAATTTAGCCAATTAGACACCTTATGAATCGGAACATTGTCATGCTGAAAAATCAGATGAGGGATGTTTAATAAATGGATTGTAGCTAAAAATGGTATGAGATCGTCATTTAACACCTTAGTATAAATATTTTTATTAATTTTTTGCTTGGGACCTTTGTAATCATCAAAAAATACCATAAGATCTTTGATATTATTAATAAAACATGATCAAACCATAACCAAGACCCTTCTACTTCTAAAATTTGATTGCAAATACTTATATTAGTATCTCTCATCTGTACAATGTCATACACAAACTTGATGAGATTGTTTACCTACTTCTATACTCATTTCATTCGAAAAAATGATATGTCTCCAATAGTAAGCATCCTTATTTTTATTTTGATTATACCATTTTATATATCCTTCTATATTGCTACTAGACAAAAAAGATTTCAAAGCAGCAATACGAGAACTAAGTCTAACATTGTATAAGGTCCTAGCTACAGTCTACATACTGTATTGAAGATTTAAATTCTTTACAATTTTGAGCAGTGACACATGTCTTTCCATCAATGCTTTTTTTACTATGGCAATCTTTTCTTGTTTCTTCAAAATGAGAAGATGTTTGGACTGAGATAAATTATTAATTTTTTTGATTCATTTATATTTTTGTAAAAACCTTCGGACTGTTGTTAGGTCATGCTTAATCTTGTGAACAACTTGTTCAGCACTCATTGTACTGATATGAGCAAGGATCATTCCTTTCTCTTTTTTTGTCATTTGTTTACATAACATTTTTATTAAAAAAAAATCTTTTGTATGTGCTTGATTTCTTCAATGTCAAAGAAGTAAAAAAAAAAAAAATTATTCAAAATTCATTAGAATGGAGTATACACAGCCCTTTTATTTGCTCATATGTGGTAATCTGCAAATCAGATGTTACTTTTGTTGGCTACTGTATATCTCGTTTTAGTTGTTGTAATTGTTAATTATGTTTGTGCCTTATAGTATTTTTTTTTCTATTTAAAATTAATGCTTGTTTTTCATTTTGTTGATTTATCTGATTGATTTATCTTTGTACTTAATTTAGCTACATGTATTTTTTTTTCTAATTAATATTAGTGCTTGTTTTTTCTTTTATTGAATTATCCAATTTCATTGTTCTTTGCATTAATATGGGGCTTGTTATTATATCTGCTTAATCTCATTTACAATTTATCATTTACAGTTGTTATATACTTGATTAGACACATGTATTTTATTTTATTAGGAACATAGTAAAACAAAGTGTATGATTTACAGACAACTATCTGTATACAAACTTTACAGAAACATATCAAAAAGTAACTAAATAATAACTAAATAGTAAAAAAATTTTATATATATTACCAATATTTAGTTAAAAATTAAATATAATTTAATAACTTATTTGTCAATTCATAGTTACTATACATTAAAATAATAATAAAACTTTATTTTAAAATTATAAATATTTATAAATAAATTAATAAATAAATTTTTATTATTTTATTATTAAGTTATTAATACTTAATATCAAAATAAATAATATTTTATTATTAAAATTCAATTTATTTATATGCAATTTGGTATCAACATTTATACTACTTAATAATAAAATTATAATAACTTATTAATTAATTGATGCCAAATTTACAATAATTTAGATATTATATACTATTAAAATTACAATAATTTTATAATTATTTATAAATATTTATTATTAAATTACAATTTAATAAAATAAAATAAATAAAATACATGAATTAAAACTATAAAATAATATCTAATATTAAATTTAAATATTCAAATAAATTTGCAAACTTAAAACTTAGTTAAGTTTGCTTATTATAACTATTCAAATTTATTTTTTATAAAAAAGTTTTAAAATATAATTTAGAGAACTTAGACTATAACACAACACAGTATAATCAATAATCAAACATGCACTTAAAGTCAAACATGAAATAAGTAAATATATACAACATACTCCAAAACTCAAACAATTGAAAAAGTAATACATTACAGAAAATACATCAAAATTCATAATTGCAAAAGTGAAATAATAAGTAAATGGGTTTTAATAAGAAAAAATAACTTAATTAAATTTAAAACAGTTAAATTAAAATGAACTTATTTATTAAACTCAAATTTAAAACTCAAAAACAATTAGATTAAGTAATATAATGAAAGCAACAGACAAACTAGTATCAAAAAATCTTATCAAGTAAATAATATTATAAATATTACTGAGTTAATAAAATAAATAAAAGAAATAGTATCTATTTTATTTATAAAAGAAAGTATATAAATGATCTAAGCTTATCTTTAATAAAGATAGCTTTTAGTTCTCAACTCTCAATTTGGTTAAAGTTTAGTATTCAACTAGATGCTTGTTTAACTATTATATGATTACAACAAAATTTTGTAGTTACATATGGTCAACAAAAAATTTCTAATTAATAATCATAATTTGGTAAATATAATATAATTAAAAAAGCTTAAAAAAACCTTTGTTTTGTTAAAAAATGCTTATTTCTTAAAATTTAGTATCTGTATATTAACAAAAAACTTTTTCTTAAATAATTTTGTTATTAGAATTCTTAAAATCTAACTCAAACATAGACTTTATCTTTAACTTAAAGAATTTTTGTTAATATTATATAATTACCAAATTTTATTAGCAATTTTAAGTTAAATATATATATATCTAGAAATTTCTTTAATAAATAAGTTAGAAATAATAGTAGTAAATTAACTGTTTATATTATAAACTAATAATATTTTCAGAATACTTAAGATTAACTAATATAAAGCTATAAATATATATATTAAAAAACTTATAATATAATTCAAAGCTCTAATTGATTCTAATTAATTAAATTAAATCTTTTAACTACTTACTTATAATTTTTTTTAATTGATTCTAATTACTTAAACCAAGTCTTTATGCTTTAAAATTAGAATTAGTTTAGTTAACTATAATGTTTAGTTAACTAATTAGTTGACTAAACATAGTAGTAGTTTATTAATAAATTTTTTAGTTGACTAAACTGATTCTAATTCTGATTTCTACTTCTTAATTATAATCTTATCACTATTAGAGTTTAGTCAAAGAAATATAGCTAGTATATATTTGTATTAAATAAAAAAAATACAAAAAACTCTATACAAATAATACTAAAAAACTACAAGACTTAACTAAAAGCTAAAATAAAATAATTGTAAATTTTATCTTTATAACAAAGTATTTAATTATATTAAGAATAAAATTTTTGATACAAAAAATAAATAGTTGAAAAGATGTGATGACCTAGTGAAATAATCAAGTTATCAAGTTCTTAAGTAGTAGATTAGGTATTCAAATTCTATCAATAGCAAAAATTTAAATAATTATTTATATAATATTTATATTATGACAACTGTTACTAACAATTGGATTAGAATATTTGTAATGGTAGTTACACTAATATAACTGACAAGTTATGAGGCATCTGTTCAATTTTGGAGTTATACAAAAGAATGCAAACTAACAACTAGGTAGTGCAAACACTAGATAAGTTCTTGTAACTATGTAAATCTGTTAAAATTGGATAACAAGAAGTTTATTTGAGAAACCTAATAGAAAAATATCTGAATCTTTAATAGCACTACTATAAAGGCTAGCTTGAGGAATGAATACCAAGATCTAGTAACTAAACAAACAAGAACCTCTAAATTAGAAGTCTCAGAGATACTACCAACTAGGTTATCAGAACAAATTAGAAAAAAAGAATATTGAGCTGATCTAATATATAGATAAACTAGTCATAGTCCTACATGGATCATTTGAATTGAAAGTCTGATGAAATTCAAAAGTATACTAAAGTATTAGGATTATATTATAAAGTAGATACTAGGATCTAGTGAACTTTACAAGAGCATAATAGTTTAATAATTAAGTTCTAACTACAAGAGTTGGTTTTGTTATAGCGATATCTAGATCAGCTATAAAAATGAATACAAAAGGCTCTGAAAAATTTACTTTAAAGATAAAATAGTTTTAAGATTAAGATGATAATCTGGTTATCTAAGTATGACCTAGTAAGTAAAATATAGATTACAAGTTCAAAGAATTTAAAGTAAAACATCTAAGCAAAAATGTTAGATAAGACAATTGGTAAAGAACCATAAAGTAAACTTCTTAAATAAGTAATATAGAAATGTTATATATATAGCCAATTATATGCTCTCTT